TGCTCAATTCCTTTTGTCATGTACCACCAGTCACTTTTTTACTTAAGGTGCACATAGCAGTGCAAACAACAATGTGCAGAGGGCCTACACAAAAAACAACATGATTAGTGTGCACTATGCACAGCATTGTACCCTGATTATTTGAATATTTTGATCACTCAACAGTCAACAGTCAGGAGATAATTATTGAATATCACATTTATTATACATCACTTGTCAAACAAGAGCATGATGACACACATTTTGACAAGCAATCATGGTAGTATTCCAATAAGTTGGACAGTCATCTCCCTGGGCGTCATTTTTCCAGGAAGGTACCTATGCAGGTGTTGTGGTAGGCTAGGTTGAATGAGGTTAAGTTAGGCGAAGTAAGGTGGTTAGGACCCGGTCAGACCGTAGAACCTGGTCAGGTTGATTTTAATCTTTCATTCTAATTTGACATATATACCTATTACCTATGTATGTTTTTGCTCCAGCCTGAATTTCATTAGGTAATGAGTTAATTTTGCTTTGTTTTTATCTGTCTTGTTTTATGTTTTTGTCCCTTATGTTTTGCCCCATAGGCAAGGGTGGAGCTTTTCCAGGGAAGGTGCGGTGGAGCATGATTGGAGGCGCTCAACCAGATGGCATAGGAGGGCACGGTTTCTGAACGCGCACTGATGCCTGATTCAAGCCACGCTGTCTTCATGCGGAGCGGCGCGCTACTTAAAAGTCCCTAAAAGAACGGGAAGTGATGCCGATAGAACCTTCAATCATTCTGGGCTAACGCCTATGACTTGGAAAAAGTCGCGATCCCAATTAAATCGGAAACCTGTGGGCTCTTGTTCAGCAGGAGGTGTACTATGAAGAGCCACCCGCCATAAGCACTGCTCAACCGCAGGCACAGGTTTAGACGGCGTTGGTCCGCATCAAAGCCAGTGTGCTGGATAATCCAGTGGCTGAAATGCTCCAGAACATTCGCCACTGTGTTTTTATGAAAGGTGACTACAAGCTTAGTTAAAAAAGTACCAGATTATTTTGCTTTTACAGCGGGAAGAAAGGTGTCCGGATAATTTCGTTACACCCCCTGTAATGTTCAAATGGTTGCTAAATTCGAAATCAGCTCCAAAAACTAGCCTAGAAACATGTAAAACTCGAAAAAGTGAACCGAGGTCATCAGAGGTCATTGAGCTGACCTGACCTTCAGGTGACCTTGACACCCACCCTTTAATGCATGGGACCAGCATCATATCACATGTTTCAACGCTTAAAACCACGTGAAGACTGCAACCGCGCGGCTAATGCGAGCCGACATACGCCGAATCGCAATTCGGGCCAAACATGGTGTCGAGAAATAGGTCACAGGTCAAAGGTCATTTGGGTCAGAGTCATGAAATTTTCAGGGTAGGTGCTGATGATGCTGATGCTGATGCTGATGATGTGGTCGGGCTGTCACCGGTTGCATCGGTAGCCCTATAAACGCGCGTCGGGTGGTGGGAGGTTTCTGGGATATGGTTAGGATGTAACCTGGACAGAATTAGACAAGTCAGCTTCTGTCCGCTCCAGTCCTCTGCTCACCATCCGTCACGGTCACCAGTTTCCTCTTCCTCAGTCTCCAGAGCTTGTAGAGTCCCTCCTTGTTCTTCTCCATCTCTTCCGTGCTTTCATTGAAGAGGAATGTCTTCAGGACTAGGTGTAAAATTGATAAAATCGGGGGTATTGAAAGTTTCGTCGCGATCAGACGCTTTTTACGCGAGTTACTCACGAAAAACCGATAAAGCGCACCCAAAAAGGCAGAAATATGCACATGCGATATCCTATACTGCGAAAAAAAGGTGCATCATTTTTGAACGTAGCCGACAAATTGTAATTACCCTAAGCTCTGGCAGATGTATGGTAGAAAATCCCCCAAGTGAAATACACTACGGCGGAAATAAAATACCCTACGGCGGAGCTCGGTTGCAATTTGTAAATACGCGCGCTGTAGCATATTGCGCTGCATATTTACGTCTGGACAACGAGTTGCGGGGAAAAGTGCTGATTGTGTTGCAGTTTTAGGAGCCGGTGATTAGGCTGGATTTTTGGGTTACTTTTTCGTTCCGATTCATGTATTTCATAGTGTTTGGCTTTTGAATATTTTAGTTCTTTCAGATAAATATTACTTGCCCTACAACTTTTGTAAAAACGTTTCATTTTTTTATAAGCCGACGTTCAGAGTCCTAAAAATACATCAGCACTACAATCATTGTAAACAAACAAATGGAGCACCACTTGGCTCTGTTCCAAGGCCATTTTTTTTTTAGTTTATCTGGTGGTTTTCTTGCTCTTGTACGTCGTTTTGTTGGATGTTTTGAATCCCTTAAGATTGACTTATATCATATTTAAGAAGCATGTTGACTGAAAACAATCTGAAGTATCCAGGAGGCTGACAGAGGTCCTGACTTACTGAGCAATATTGATATCAATATCAAGTTGAACAAGTTATGAAATCTTGGTTGATAAACGCAAGTTGATCGGGCTCATATATCAGCAAGAAAAACTAAAATTAAAAGAGCTTATTGTCCAAAAACAAGCTATAATATTGCATACCTTAGAGCAATACTGAAGAGCACGCTGAGCAGGATCATGCCAGAAAATGTTGACTGATGAGCGCATATTGATGTATTGGTATGAATATTGAATGATAAGTTACAACAGCAAGATAAATTAGTGCTAACTATCAAGTTAAAATCTAGAATGAATGGACTTGGGCAGTTTTACTATGTTTAGATGCTATGCAGATTGTAATGTGCATCAGGCACTCAGTGTCTGGCAAATGAAACATGCGATCATTCCATTGCTACTGGAGGAGAAAGCTTGGATCACTAAATCCACTTCATGTTGATTTTGATGTTAATCATCATCACTGTATTTCTTGAAAAAGGGATTGTAGTAAAATTGTCAATGTGACAATCCATGCAACGATGTGATCATATTATGTGTTCATAGTCATTCGTGATAGTCATTATTGATCCAATATACAATGGCAAAGCTCTCAGTCTCAGCGTTTCTTCCTGTGGATGGCCAGCAGTGACTCAGAGCTTAGAAGTATTAGTTTTCTTCACAGGGCTGGGATAAAAAGTACTGAGGGTAATCTTCCACCAAGGAACTCTACTTTGACATGGTATGAGATGTGGGCACAAGTAGGTAGGTGCTCAGTTCCTATAGTCAGTAGTTGTGTATGTTTAGTCGGGTTAGCAGCTTAGATCAGATTGTTAGTTTTTTAATTTGCAAAATGTCCATAAAAATGTGATCTGAGCAATGAGCATACCTGAACCTGACTAACCTGACAGCTGACCTAACCTCAATCATCACACATATTTGCAGCCTATCCAAGACCTGCATGGCAGTAGCACCCAGTTATAGGTAGGTACTCACCCTAACTCAATCTTACTTGCTAACCTTCAACTTGCCAAAAGTTAGCTCACATGACATTGCCAAGCTGTGTCCAGGGAAACAGTCAACTGAGGAACTGGCTCATTGGATGGCTGGTGTGAGCCTGTGCATTTTAAGTGTTTCTTCTCTGAAGCTGCTCTGCACTGCTGTATGTCATGTTAGATGCTCAGAAAATGTGGAAAATGATTACTAAGCTACTTTAGTGCTTTGTTAATGCTCGAGACATGAACAAGTAGGTACAGATCCTGCAGGGTACAGCTATGAGTTAGGTGCTAGGTGAGTATGTTATGTGAATGTGCTGTTCCCTGTTTGACTGTAAGTAGGTATACAAACAAGCACAGAGTCACAGTTATATTCAATCTCCACATAAACATACAACAAAAACGGCCATATAGCCTAACTCCGAACACACCACAGATTGAGATAACTTAAGCCTTTGAAGGCACAAAAATGTTTTGATTAACAGGACAGGTTTACAATATATCCTCTGTCCTTGGGGGATCTTGCTGCCAAGTTGAGGTACGATGACTGAACTTCAGGATTGATCAACCTTTTCTTAGCCACTGCTTATAAACGAGAAAGACCAAATGCTTGTTTGTAAACTGCGTTGAAAATTTAATGATCCACCTTCAATTCTGACATGAAGGCACAAATGAAATAGTTTCCTCTCCTTTTGGAATACACAACGCAAAATATTTAATAAATTTTAGTGGATGGACAAGAGCAATTAGCAGCATAGCTTTCCCTCAAGCTTTCCTGGCAATTACACTGACGCTTATTCGCTTCATATTTTGTAACAAACGCGCTAAAACTGCAATATAACAGCACTATATGCTTCTTGACAAAATGCAACAGTATAAAAAATTTAGCCCTGATGGCATTCATTCTTGGTGGAAACGTAATTACAAAATATTTTGTAGTAACGTTTAAATTCCGGCCGAAAACAGTGCACGGTTTAAAAAAGAATCATTCCAATGACGGTCCATTCTTGCGGTCCTGAAATCGCCACTATTTCCGGCCTCTCCAACACAACTCGTTGTCCAGACGTAGCTGGATGGGTGTTTTGGTGTTTCTATTTACTCAGATCAAGGCCCTGCTGAATGCTGATATGTAATTTTAAAGGGACACTCCCACCTTAACATTAGTTTTGAGTTGAGATAGCCAAATTGGTGGCCATGGCCTGCAAATACCGGTTTGGGCACTCACAACATCGACAAATGCTTTAATTCGGAGATATGGAATTTCAAACTTGCAGTTTTCGGATTCTAAGGGGCTAGTGCATTGGTATGCCCCCTTAGAATTTGTGACGTCAGCGGAGATCTAACGATTTTTAAATCTTTTACTAAAACGTTTGGTAGCACGCGGTGGTATATGCTGCTTTGCGCGCAACAAATGCCGCACTTTCAAATAAAGTCGCTAGGAACAGCGGAGATCCCAAAAAGTAAACAAAAGTAAAAGTCTCAAATCTTGAAAACCGGTGAATATTTTTCGATGAAATTTGGTAGATATTCGTTTTCGCTCTTTCTGAACCGAGCGACATCACTTTCGTGCCAATTCATTAACTTTTTTGAAGGTGGGAGGGTCCCTTTAAGCAATATTGAGACATTTCATCTGCTGGATCCTTCAAATACTCAAAGCGCTGATAACCGCTGTTTGATAATTGTATTCGAGCTTACAGCTTAGTTCGAGTGACAGTGGAGCAAGTCAAAGATTGAAAATCTCTGAATGTTGAGATCTTTATTTTTATTTTTAGGTTTCCAGCTTAAAGGAGATTAAGGTGAGACTTAGCATGCTGCTGATTATTTAGGGACATATTTGTGTTATGAGGTTATCGGTGGATCCAACAAATAAGTGCAAGTGCAAGTAAGTGCATTTCAATTTAGTTATTTGTTGATCCTTGATAATATGACAGTAAAAAAATCTCAATCTGAGCGCTTATGGATAGAAGTGCTAAACTTTAAGGGCCTTTTTCCCCGGCTGGCCCATAAAGATAACATCTCCCGGAGAAAAATGAACCCGGCCCCATCGATGACGTCACAAGGTCGATAATACTAGACACTTGCATGGTAAATTTCCACGTCACAGACGTGATATTTAAACATCTGTCAAAAATAAAGTTTTAGGGACAAAAACGAATTATTGATCACAGTTGTGAAGCTATGACTTAGGTAAAAATGTGAAAAAATGTTTGGTGACTTGAGTTCAGACATCAGAGGCCAGTTTCACCTACTTAAAATAGCCGCCAGCCGGATTTTTTCTTAAAGACCGCTTCACATACGGAGCGTAAACGTGATGAGCATTTCAGTAGGTGGAACTATGGTCATGAGTACCCAAATATAGGAACGTTCCCATTTTTGGGAACGGAGTTCCCAAATATGGGAACGGGCGTTCCCATTTATGAGAACGGAAGGTAATTTTTCGGCCGTTCGCCCACTAAAACTCATTAGTGCATCACGTCTCAAAAAAGTGCACGCTAATTTAAGTATCTACTAAGTCTCTATAAAATTATCTTTAATCTGACCGTTGAACAAGAAAATTGACCGTCGAATGATATTTTTAATGATTTTTTGAAATGACGGAATGGTGAAAACATGGGTTACACTATATTTAACATGCAATTTTAACCCTCGCCCGTAAACGGCGATCTGCCACCTTCGCCCATGCAGGGGGGGGGGGGTTGGTGCGACCCCCCCCCCCCTTGGCGTTTGAAAACGGAGCGTCGTAGAGCTTAGCGGAAAAGACCAACGGATTGCTCTCGCCGAGATCTCGCGATTGGTGGTATATTTTTTGGTCCTAGGTCAACATTTGACCTACTTTTGACCGGTCAAAGGTCAAATTTTCGGAAAAAATAGACTTTTTTCAACTTTCCGCGGCGATTGCGGCAAAACGGTGGGAGATATCGACTTGAAACCTTCACTATCGTGTTCCTTGATCAATTCTCTATCGTTTGATATGTATTTCGTTTCCCTAGCTCTAAAAATGGCGCGTTGGGAGCGCCGGAAGTCGGCAAGGTCACAGTCGGCGGCAGAAATTCGAAAAATCAAAATTTAAATTTTTGAAATCTGATTGTATTTTTGGATTTGGAAGGTCCATTTGCTCCCTATAGAAGCTAATATTGCTGCATATTCCCATTGAGGTGACAAGAATTAGCAAAATAGTGGTTCGGGCGCTTTTCCGAAATAGTACCGGACGCTGTTCCTCTTGTGACGTCATAGCTCCGTGACCTGACCTGACCCGGTCAAGTTTCTTATACCATATGATAGCCAATACTTGCCCCAACATGCATGGGAAGTTTCATCACGATCCATCAACCGATGTCCGTACCACCGGCAGGAAACCTCGGGCGTTGGCACTCAGTTTGTGAAAATCCGGCCGGAGGCTGTTCCCTTTGTGACGTCATAACTCCGTGACCTGACATGACCCGGTCAATTTTTTTTATCAAAAGATGCGCAAGGCTTGCCCCATAAGGTACCCAAAATTTGGCGGGGCTGCGCGCCGCCGTTTTTGCACTATTTCCGAAAAACCTCAGGGGGGGGGGTTGCACCAACCCCCCCCTACATGGGCGAGGGTTAAGGAAAATGAAGCGTTTTTTACATTTTGAGGTCAAGTATAATAATTTTCGCCTGGTTATGAAGTTTCATACTAGCGACACCCGATGCTGACATATGCAAGCGAACACGCGGACAGTCCCGAGGTAATATTGTTGACATTTGGTGTCGAGGCGGACGACCGCGTAGAACGTGCGTGATTTTACCGAACTACTGTTGTAAACTCAGTTTAAGTGGTCGAAAAGTATTCAGCTGTATTTTATCAGCCCGGAAAGACATATTTTATTTGGATGCTAGCTGTTTAGCGTTGTTTTATAAGGAGCGTCATGAGCGTGGTTTTGTCTTCCGTGTTTCTAAGCATGATCGTTTTGGGGGAATTTCTCTTATATAGGTCGCTCTGTGTGGCTTATTTATAATTTCTATGCTGATTTCGATCATTCCTCGTGCTCATCCTACCAGGCCTTTTGCCACTTACACTCATTAAGAAAGGAAAAAACTAGATTTTCATTGGGACTAGGTGTTTTGAGGGTGTAACATATTCAGCGTTCCCATTTTTGGATACTTCCTTGTACCCGTCAACTATCGGTGATAAACAGACAGGTGCTTGACATGTCTCCACCCTCGGCACGGACGGTGGATATAGGTATGGAAGACCTTGTTGAACATCGCTGAGCGTTGTGAATTACGTAATCCTGCAGAGGGGGGCGTGCCCGCTGCGAGATCGACGGGAATAAAAGCGCAGAAGACCGGTCGAAATATGCGACGGTCTTGCCGGAAAGGTCATCTGATGATTGTTGCGTTAACAATAATTTGCGGCGTTGGACGTGATGCTTGTTAATGAAAAGAGCCCCTGAAAGGCGTCGGTGAAATCGTTCCCAATTTTGGGTACGCCGTTCCCATAATAAGGAACGCTTGCAGCGCCAGTGTACGAGAGCGTTCCCAAATTTGGGTTCGCGGCCCGGATGATGGACTGCTTTAGAAATAGGGGAACGATTTGAAACAACGATGGGCCTTACAATATCAAACTCTTTCCCAACAATATTGAGACAAATATCAGGCGGTTCACGGTCGTTTTATATTTTTTGGACGTCATTTAACGGTTCTTTTTCTTGTTTTAAATAATGCCTACATGGCGTTCCCATATTTGGGTTTATCGTTCCCAAACATGGGAACGAAAATGCGTTCCCGAAAATGGGTACGCTTGACCATAGTTCCGCCTACTGATTTAAAGGTAGTGTGCCACCTTTGAAAGATTTCCCATTTTATTTTTCCTAGGATAAGAAGCTTCTGTTTTTACATAATATCGCAAAAAAAACAAAAATGGGCCTGGAATAGTGCCTTTTTCGCCTAAAAGTTTTTCGGTTTTTAGATATGTATAACAACTGTAGTGGGCTCACCTGCAAACAGGCCTCGGGCAACAATCGCGAATGCGGCGCACTTGTGACAATAAGCAAAGGTCATTATAGTGTTACGACCATACGACGTACGGGAATGAGTTATCAGCTGTCTAATCGTAGACAACACAATGTCGAGCCTTAAACTGTAAGCCCGTATTGGTATTGATTCTTTTATTTGGCTGTCGAACATTATTTATGGTTTGAAATATGATTTTATGTAAAATAATTGATATGAAAAAGCCGTCTTATAAGTTATGACCCCATTTCACCACACGCAAGTGGCAGAAATGACAATGATCAGCTGACGCATTTTTCTTGGCCGAAGTCAGAGCGCGCGGCCCGACGCACCACGCGTATTTGGAAATTCCGACCTCGACGAGCATCAGAAGCCACCTAACAGGCGTGTTCGAAACCGCAGGAGATGATGATGAACGGGTTTATCGAAACTTGATTGGATGAGCATATCGGTAATAGCGATTTCAGTGTGTGCATTTATTGTTCATAGTGGTGTGAAATGTGGTTGGGGTACGACCGACAACCCGTCGGGGCGAATTTCGCACTGGGGTACTCAAAATTTGAAGAATTTAAGACGTTTCCATGAGTTTTGAAGGTATGGATAAGTTCTAAAAATCCGGTTCTCCTTATCTGGGCCATTAACTCCATACGGTCCAAGAAAGCTGGCACACTACCTTTAAAGGGACCCTCCCACCTTCAAAAAAGTTAATGAATTGGCACGAAAGTGATGTCGCTCGGTTCAGAAAGAGCGAAAACGAATATCTACCAAATTTCATCGAAAAATATTCACCGGTTTTCAAGATATTGGACTTTTACTTTTGTTTACTTTTTGGGATCTCCGCTGTTCCTAGCGACTTTATTTGAAAGTGCGGCATTTGTTGCGCGCAAAGCAGCATATACCACCGCGTGCTACCAAACGTTTTAGCAAAAGATTTAAAAATCGTTAGATCTCCGCTGACGTCACAAATTCTAAGGGGGCATACCAATGCACTAGCCCCTTAGAATCCGAAAACTGCAAGTTTGAAATTCCATATCTCCGAATTAAAGCATTTGTCGATGTTGTGAGTGCCCAAACCGGTATTTGTAGGCCATGGCCACCAATTTGGCTATCTCAACTCAAAACTAATGTTAAGGTGGGAGTGTCCCTTTAAGCGGATAAGGCTTCACCATTTATCCTCCATGTGTGAAGCGGTCTTTAGGCAAAAAATTCTGGCAGACGCCAGATGGCTATTTTTCTGTTGTTAAAACTGGCCTCCGGTCAACGACTCTGAGCTGGAAATTCAGTTTTTGTTTTTGTTTCCCAAATAACTTCAGCAAAAATGGCCCTAGGGCCAAAACAGCGCTACGTCAGCCTTCCGTCACCGCACACAGCGACCGCTAGTGGTCGGTCGGGACCGGCCACAGGGGACCGTCCACGGCACGCAGCCGTGACGTCAGAACCACCTACCCATCCCCTATCCCCACGCCTGCTGCACACACCGCACTCAGCAGTTTGCACTTTGCGGTACCCGTGAACGCCCCTGCGCGGGGCAGTCGCACACACATCACACAACAGTGGCACAGCATCTTACCCCATTCTTCCCTACCTATATTGTTAAGAAAAGGTCAAGTTTTTTGTTGACCTCTTGTGACCTTGAATGCCCTTTGGTTGATCTTGACACATTAAAGGTGCTTTATGATGAATTCGTAGCCGCTGATGACGAATCTGGCATTCATTTTGCGCTAAGCATCCATTTAGTGCGCCAGGATAGCATAAATACAATTAGAATTATAATGTAGAATGTAGAATTATTATAATGTAGAATTATAATGTAGAA